TATCGATAGTATCCTTGAATAATCTGCAACCTGATTGGTATATTGCACGGCCATCTCTATTCTATCCTATTCTATTTCTCTTCGATACGATCCCTATGAGAGGTAGACAATTGAAATCAGGTCGTGGATGATAGTAATTGATCACTCCCTAAACACTAGTGTCAGAAAACTCACCCTCAAGCGGCTACAAGTGAGATGTTGATGTATGACTCAGATAGGATTATGTGACTGGACACTCCATTATGGGTGGATTCGCTGTAAACGACGTTAGCTAGTTCCTTCTTAACAGCAGGTTGTACTCTTGATTCAGCGATCTTTAGTTACTGCTGCTGTAGACATTTCTTAAGCTCCACTCAAAGTTACTCAATAGGATTGATAGCTGGTAAGTAGGGGGGTTGAGATTCAACCTCGATGTTATTATTACCAAACTATTTGGCGATTGTTGTTACTGTATGCACTGATACATTGTCATTCTGAAAAGTGATATAAGCGTATGATTGTAAAAGACTTCTAAGAACAGCTGTGAAATAAGGTTGGATAATCTTCTGGTAATGTATGCCAGTCATATCTTCTGTTATCAATATTAATAAATCTTTATTTGTCAAGTAGAAAGACACCAATACCATTAAGGATATGCCATGGTATTTAGGTTTTGGGTGGATAGAGTCGGCAACCCATCTCTCATCTGGCTCCCTAAAAACCTCAATCTGTCGAGGGTCCCTAGATTTTTCAACCATACACTCTTCGCTTCAAACAACACTTGTGAACTCTTCAACACCTCATTCCTTTCACTGTAAGGCCCAATCTAATCGATTCTTCATATGCTCGTGTTTAATAATGGACAGTGTTTAGCCAACTAATTCTTGAAATGATTCTGAATACATTTGGGAATTGATACAAGGTTTGGAATTCAGGTATTGAATAGAGCTATGGATGTAGATCAGAACATTGAATATATTCTCAAGGGGGTGAGTAGTGAGTATTCCGCAGGGTACGAAGGAGATAGTAGAGGTCAGTGCGGAGAGCCTGTAATATGGGTCCTAAAGGACTCTAACGTTGGTAACAATTTAACGGGACAAGGGAAGCAGCAGTGCGGTGGTCTTCTTGAGTAAAGAATAGGAGATAATATTATATAGTTATCACGGGGACCGTAGGCGATAGACTATGGTGCCAAGGAATACAACCTCGGTAGTGACGTAGACGTGGACGTAGACGTAAAGGTACACTTTGACTATTGACTATGGGGTGGCTCTACCTGGTATGATAAACTGGTTGGAGCCCTATGACGTAGTGCGGACAAAGAATAGTATTCGTGGAATAAATACAGAGAGAGAGAGAGAGAATCTTATATTGCATAGAAGCCGAAGCTTATCGCACACCTAACTACCCGACTACAACCTCCACCGACTAACCCGAAAGCAAAAACGAAGTACAAAAACTAACTACCGCAGCTACGAGAACTGCGTACATAATAAAACAAAAACAGCGCACGAAGAGGGCGCGAATAACAAGTAGTACAGGTAAGCAGAATCTAAGCGACAACAAAGAAACCTCCCCGTAGTAAAAGTAAGAACCCCAAACTTCTCCGTCAACTGCATTAGCGAGCACAATCCTAAACGTAGTGTTCAATCGAAACGATATCATTACCAACGTTCCCGGTATCATATCTGTGGACGAACCTTAACAGGACTGGGAAACCACGCGCACGAAGGCAGGAAAGGCCAACCGCAACAGCGTCAGGTGTGAAAGCGAGGGGGGGTGGGTCGAGTGTGGGTCCTCGGGCTTCTGGTTGTCAGGCAGCGAGGAATTGAGGAGTGGTGACCAGTTGGTCAAGTAAGGAGTGGGTGGGGTCGTCGGTCCCTGGAGCAACGGCTAAAGACTGTGCCCGAGTCGTGTTTGAAGTGGTGTCCTCTGGGGGGGACATGCAAAAAGGGTTGAGCCGAAGGCTCAGTATGTATGGGGGTCGCAATCGAAAGTGCCGACCGTGTTGTGTTGAGGGTGGTCTCGGAGACCGGTTGGGTTGGGGTGAGGGGAGCGGGCCGCCTCGGGTAAAAGTGGGTGGCCTGGTTAAGGCCGATAAAGAGGGGTAAGGTCACGGGACCTCGGGTAAAAAATTTGACGATAGTTTCGCGACCGAGAGGTCGCTAACTTCGCGGGCTGTCGAGCGCTTTGGCAGTAGGTTCTCGCTGACTGGAGATTACTGACAGTGTGCGTACCCAACGTGTGGGATCACTCGTGCGATGAGTGAAAATAAGGAGGGGCGAAGACGGCTTTCGAGAGTAGCTGTTGTTTTGGCGAGGGGTGAACGGTGGACGCATCCCGTGAGGGCACCGAACGAACAAAGAATGGGGGGTGTCGAGCGAGGGAAGTTCAGGGACCGAAGCAATTCGAGAATCAGTATAACTCCATCTCGGGGGGAAGAAATCCTACCGCGAGCCAGAGGCGAGCGGGTAGAATGCAGAGGTTGCGTAAGGAAAGAAGAGAAGAAGGAAACAGACAAAAACACAAGACAACACCCCTTTATATATCCATCCATAATCCAACGATGACTAATACCTTCGCGTAACAGAAACCAAAAGAACATAATAGAAATCCCCATTACAAATCCTAATTCAACTGCACAATACCTCCTTCCCTCGTTCCAATTTATCACCTAGCCAGAAATACCTAATTGCCGTTACAATAGTAATAGACAGCATAGTCACAGAAGATGTTGCTTATCAAAAGAAAGAAGAGAAATAGAACAGAACCGAGTACGAAAACCTCCTAATATACTCAAGGAAATCCCACCGATAACAAATCCAAACTGACTCAAACCCTTGCGACCGACAGAACCCGATAGAACTCAATAGAATCTTTCTGACTAATCCAACTCCTTGTAACCCAGTGTATTAACTAATCGATCCATGAAATATGTTTGCCAAAGAATACTACCTAGATGAAAGACATGAGTGTGGACTATGATCGAAGCGATATACAGTAAACTCCCTTAGTATGGTATATTAGGAGCATATGGTTATTGATTTTAGACTATAATGATGAGCTTGATGAATGTGTATCACCATCAAGGCCACTGTACTTACATAACCGACGATGTCACTTTGGAACTATGGAGAAGACGCAGAATGTTATATTGAGAAAATAACAAAGAACGTTGCGTAAATAGGAAAGAGAGAAATAAAATAAAGATGAGAGACCTGACCCCTTTATATATCCAATAAACCTAGTCTGAGTATGAGTCATACATCCATGTAATAGAAACCAACAGAAACCAAAGGATACCTGTATTAATAATCCTAACCGTATTGCCAAATACCTCCTTTTTATACCGCAACTATTTAAAATACAAATATAGAATACGTTTTGAAGAAACCGAAAACGATTTTTAGTGGGAAGGAATGATTTCTATAGAAAGAAAATGTCAGGATCAGTGTTTATAAAATACATTAAGAAGGGCTATTTCTTCTACTAAACCAAATTCACTATTTTCAATTTTATCGGTTTCGAACATTCAGGGATTAATTACATAAACTTACCATCATCAAACATCGTTCATTACCTTGAAAAATGCTTATTTTCTACTCGAACGGAGACCTTAAGGGTCCAACCGATTACCTCAACGAATGGACTGGCGATAAGTGGGAAAGAGCATTTCGAAGCATTTTATACTGCAGAGAAGCAATGACTAAGGTGGAATGTATCCTTGCTGATGTACGAGAATTGGTACAGATGCATAGCGACCTTCTCTATCATCCTGGTAGGACAAGCAACGATAGAAATGAACAGAATATCTACTGGAACTTATATTACCCATGGTATTCAAGAACATTACCAAGGTCTCTTCGAAGAATTAAGAGAGATCTGGACACGTTATGGACGGAGGGAACCGGTAAATTATTCCAAGACAACTACCCTCAGGATTCAGATGGTTATCCACCGAATAGTGTTATATGTAGTGCTATTATCATTCTAGAGGCACAAGTAGGTGTTTTGGAAGATTTTCGTGAGCAATTTGCTCGCCCAAGCACTAATCGGATGATAAGAACTTACCTTAATCCAACTGGCAATGGGGCACGAGTCTTATCAACTGGAGAAAATCCTGAAGTTCCTATTGTTTTAACACTTCGGCGTTGATTTGTGGTGTGGTTTTGGGGGATTTAAAAACTGCAATTTCTCAATAATAGACACGTTTATAACTATTCTTTGTTTCTTTTATTTTCATTACTTTCAGAAAAAAACTAAAGACATAGGATTCGAAGATTAGATTTCCAATATTAGAATAAATTCGTACAAAATAATTGAGGTTAGGACTACATTATGAGCATCGTATACAAATCTTGCATTTGGATTAGTTGTGACGAAAATGAGTCATAATATGTAAGTGGTTCAAGATTGATGTGCTTAGGTTCGATGAGACCCGTTGTGTGAACATTGCCTGGGACGTACACTGCGGAGTTGTAACACCGTACTATACACCACTCACCCAGCGCCTCTCAAAACTCCCGGGTCTCGTTGGGAGTACTTCAACTAATTTAGATCGACTCACCCCCGCCCCAAAGCGAGCAGAACCGCTGGTATTCACGGTTTTACCCATGAACGCTTCTCCATGATATCTTACTACAAATCAAGTTATAAAAGCTCGGATGAAAACCTAACTCGGAAGAGAGCCTGTTTAATAATCATCTTCTTCGTAGCGCGAAGTCTCTACGTTATTCGAACTATCAACGAGTAAACGAACCCACCCCAGCACGGTCAAGTAGGGCTTTTGCGTCGTCAAAACTACAGGGTAGGAATATGGGGCCCGTTTCTATGGATATAGCTGGCCTACCCCCCATCCACTATGTCCAGGTCCCAGGGGAAAGAGTACTCTTCCGTTTCTGTTCTAGAGTATCCATTTCGTGTCATTGTAGGCTTCAAAAGATCTTATATTATTGTGAGAATTAAGACAGAAGCGTCAACCTTCTAAAAAACCTGCCATCAGGTTCACATAGATCACACCCTTATACATCCGCAATCCACTTATTAATCCACCCAATCACCTCCTTATGCCAGACCAAGCTATTCTCACGATTCAAGACCCTATAAGAACAGTGAGCACACTCCCTAAATATCGACCAAATGAGGTGACTTACCAATGATTTTCGTCCGGAAAGTTCAAAAAGCGGCTCGGAACTCCCCTGACCTGGAGCGCATTGAATACAGCGAGTCCCTCGGAGACGGGAAGACGGTAGTCGAGGTCGTTATGAGTTACCAGCTGGGGGGTCAACCAGTTTGCAATATGCGCTGCAGGATCCCAGCGTTCGAAGTTTGCACGGTCATCCCAGAGAGTTCCGTTGAACTGTCAAGAAGTTTGTTCAGTAATGAAGCTATCGAGGTCGCGTGATAGAGATTGATATAACTTACATCGTGCTGGGGGAAGTAAAGCTCCTCCGAGGTTATTTGGTTCAGAGTTGAGAACACGCCGTCGTGGGAGACCTTGAGGATGTTAGTAGATAATCTATGGTAATTCGTGCATGAAGGTGGTGCCCACCAAAGCCTTGAACCTGCGTCCAAAATCATGGCCTTGGATCCAGTTCACCATATATCCACCGTAGCTGGCACCAAGAGCAACTGCTCTGTCTGCATCGAGGAAAGGATAGGTTTCCAAAATGTATTCGAACCCCTTGACAAGGTCTACATACGGTGCACCACCTAAGATTTCATCATTAGATTACTTCAATCGACGTAATTCGGATATCAGTACTTGCCCCAATCGTTTTGAATAGCATCCTCGAACTCCTTTCCATATCCGGTGCTTCCAGTTGGGTTGATGGCAATGGCCACGTATCTTTAAGAAAATGTTAGGGTCTGAGGTGCGGATTCGAGGATAAGATTTACATACCCTTGCTCAGCGAAAAGCTTCGGAGACCATCTTGTGCTCCATCCGTCCGCCCATGAACCTTGAGGTCCACCGTGAATCAGGAAGGCAGTAGGATACTTCTTGTCTTCATCAAAACCCTCCGGTTTGATGATCCAACCGTGTACCTAAAGACATCCACATCAATCGATTAATATAGATGCACACATAAAATATATTCGCAAGTGTAACAAACCTTATCAGCGGAACCTTGATACCAGAAATCTCCAACCGAGTTCTTTGAAAGTCCCTTTAACTCCGCATCAATAGTATTCGGATCCAAAAGCGTAGTAACCTCTCCGCTGCTCAGTTGCAACTTTGAAAATCCAGTCGAGGAAACAAAACTCGAAGTCGACAAGAGTAACTCATCATCAGACAACGGAACCGCCAAACCAACCGATCCATTCTCAGCTCCAGTAATTGCCTTTGGCTTTCCGGCATACTTTTCCGTTGCAGGGAGCGTCCATAGCCTCTCCCTTCCGTACTCCTCCGCAATCAATAGCAAGTTCTTTCCATCTTTCGACCAACTGACCGATCCCGGTGATCGGTCCCAGTCCTCTGAAAAGACGGAGGTGCTTTGCTTCTCGAGATCATAAACATATATTTTATTTTTATCAGACTCGTAGCCGTTCTCGTCTTGCTGGAGGTATGCCAGAGTTTTACCACTGGGTGAAAAGACGGGAGATGCGGAAGCTCCCTCTGGAGAATACGAGTCAGAGGGCAAATTGATGGCAACCGGCTCTTCGGACCCAGAATGGGGAACTAGATAAATATATGACGCGGTGTTGTTTGCAGGATTCATCTCCCGGTCCTTTGACAAGAATGCAACGATTTTTCCATCTGAGGAGATATCAAAATCCGAGGTACCGCCGAAAGGCTGAACTGGCGATTCGAGCCCTTCAATTCCACTGAACAGATTCTTTAGTCCACCCGAGGATGAATAAACCCCGTTAGTGTTTGAAAGACTCCCCGCGAAGATGGCGTATCTTTGTGGAGTGATGTAGGTGTCCCAATGGCGCACAAAGAGCGAGTCATAGATGCGTGCAGAAGAAAGAGATTCCTCTACTATTTCTGCATTATAGGCAGTGCCGTTAGGATATGCGAGGCCTGTAACTACGTAGCTTACACCACTTGGGGTCGAAACTGCTTTGAGATTTGCGAGAGGCGCAGCGAGAGAGGCGGCCTTATATCTAAGAGTTTTCGGTGTTAGTAGACAATCGTCATCCATCGTGGCAGAGGTTCGGACTGTATACCTTATGCTAGAGTCTGTTATATCCGACACCCAGAGCTCCACCCCTCCGGCAATGTCCGGGTTTGTTCCATTGATATATAAAACAGTGTTGTCCGCTATCCACACAACCTCTGAGACCTCTGGCTCCGGAAATAGTACACTGGTATCTCCAGTACCCAGGTCCAAAAGATTCCATGTATGAGTACTTTTGTGTGTTTCGAAAGAGTAGCTGGACACAAAATAGATTGCGAAATCCTAGAACATCATTGCCATTAGCTTTCCAATCTCTAATTTACACAGGACATGATTTCTTTCGTACCCCTGCGCGATTTGGGACAGCCGCTGTTCTCCGTGGAGCGCTGATGAACTGCCTAGCAAACCATCAGCATACAAAATACCGCCAACGACGGATTCGTAACACAAACTCTGGTGTGAACCCGTTCACCACTCCACAAAAGAAAGAAATAACCGGTATCCAAGCCTTAATCCCCATTGCTCGAGCTTTAGGACTTTCAGTAAGCAGACGAGCAATTTCTCTCACGACTCCTCACACATCATCCACTATATATACCTCCCCAATCCCAGGACATAAGCAATCCATCTCCTCACACACGCACAAGGCGAACCCGCTTCGTGACGTGTTTCTGCCTCTTTACCGCATATTCTGCGAGAACCCTCGGGCCTGGGTCCCAAATATGGCCTCCCCCGACATGGAGGTAATCCTCCGACTTGCTGGATTCATGAAGAGCATCATTCAAGGACAGCTGCATTGATACTGGGCCGTTTATTTTGTATGACGTGATTGTTCCTTCCTACTTTGTGTGTTTGCAGTTGCGGACACCTTCTTCTTCGGAAACAAGCTTCGTGCATGCATGGTTATTGGCGGGGGGGGGGGAATAAGGACGTCCTTGCCAGGTTCCAGATAACGCTCTGCAGAAGATCATTCCTGTAGCGACTGATTTAGTAGGTGCTCTGTGTGGTGTCTGGGTGTCTCGGTGTCTGGGTAGAGAGATACATCCCAACTTCCCTGAGGACAGGAATACTACTCGTACGTGCGGAGAGCACCGAGTGAGCAAAGCCGGTCGGACACGGCTGCTGTGAAGTTAAGGCACCAATAGAGAGGAACCCCTCGGGTAACCGTAGTTGAGCCGCCTGTCCTAATCCAGTATGAGCAATGCAGATCTACCATGCCGGGCCTAGCGGCAGAAGTGGCCCATACCACACAATTGTAACAGAGGCTCTTTAAGGTTAGTAAATCAACTAAGGTGCACAAGCGAGCACTCGTACTCCATGGATCCAACCCTCCACTTCACTTGGATGTGGAGTGCCTCCGTGGCCTGTCGATAAGATCGCATACGAATTAATCTACGCTTAGAACCGCAATGCTTCTGTAGGTTTCTTTGATGCAATGTCACCAAGCCGCCATCACGCAATGTATGCGGGGATCATGTTGTTCAATTTACTCTCCTATTTGCGTATTTGGAACTGACACTATACTTGGGTAAAACAAAAGAAACTCATGGGGCATTGATACACAACTCCCTTGTGTATCTTACAATTATATGGTGCAACTCTACAATACATCAACCTCTGAAGATCTTGATCTAAACAAAGTCAGCATCGATGTATTCCTGTCAGGAGGATCAGAAAAGAACAAACCCTATCCAAAACAAGCTTCCTACATATCGGACAGGTAACCGTCCGTGCTCCCGGAGTGCTTTTCCCTTTGATTCCCATCCTATCGCTACACGTCTATCGTCGCGGCACATCGTCAACAAAGGTAGAAACTGAGCTGTGTATTTGTGTTTACATACCATACAAAGTACCAAGTGATTACACGGTAACAAGACCGTATCCGTAACTTCGTCACAGCAAATTATACATGCCGAATCTATCTTCAGTATGTCTTCGACGATAGGTGCCGGACCCTGAGTGAGATTTACGCTTCCAGCCTTCAATGCAAGCGCGACTCTGTATTGCGTCCGAATCTTACTAATATTCTCAAACGCGTCATCGATTATCTGTTTATAGTCGCTATCCATACCGGTGTTGCCACCCAGATAGGTCTTGCCAATTAGCTCCAATATTACAGAGGTGTCTTCAGCCAGCTGCCTCATCTCCTCGGATAACGGCGGTGGGTCTTGGGGTGTGGCATTTCTAAGGATGGTAGTTGCAGGCTCTGGACGCAAAAGATCGGCTGGCACGGTCTCCCAGTCACCACCATCACCGGTTTCCCAGTCACCACCACCACTGGTCGCAGCAACATCCCACGGATTCTCCTCCTCCTCATCTTCACCCCAACTAGGAAGACGTTAGCATAATTTGTTCATAAATCGTTTACGAAAATCAGAAAGTCCAATTTAATAAGTTCAACTCACCCAGTCCCCGAATTTACGGGTGATGGCCTCATGCGTCCAGAAGAAGAACTTTCTGGTTCAGGACCGCGATTCATCATATCCATGTATTCCCCAAAACTCATTCTGCGTCCTCTAGTCTGACTAATATGGTCTCTCTGAATTAATATTGTGCGGAGCGCACCTCCGAAAGACTTTGGGCGACGAAGTAACTCACGTGCTCGTGGAGGCGTTATAGCCCAAGCCAGATCTTTCTGGCTCTGCTTCCGCTACTGAATTGTTGACCACAGATTGAGGTTGGAGAAGACGTTGCAGTTGAAGATACGAATAATCATTGCTGATTTCTTCGGGATCTGATGAATTTTGAGGTAGCGGCGACTGGCTTTGTGCATTTCCAGTGAAACGCGGGCGGTAAACAGTTCCGGGGCCGCGGGGCGAGTATAGGGGTGCGGGTGCGGGTGCGGGTGCAGGGAGAGCACCGGCCCTATTTCCAGGTGGCGGTACATTGTTTTGTGCCGTAAGGAGTGGTAATTCGGTATCTTGCGAAGCTAGTATTCTTTGAAGCTCTTGCTCTTGCATAGCTGCCCGTGCCCGTTTGGCAGCTTTCTTCCTAGCTGATTTGCCAAGATTAGGAGGAGGTGCAGCTTGCCCCACCAAGGGACTGGCCGAGGTCGGAGGAGTGCGAGAAGGTGCGACTGCCACCGGTATATTGCTAGCTGGGCTTCTAGTACTGGGAGGAGGTGCAACTCTCGCCGGTATATTCCTTCGAGCTCGAGTCCCAACAAACTGCCAGGGACTAGTATCGGGAGAAAGTTCATCCGTCACCGGTACATTGCTAGCTGGGCTACTAGTAGTGGGAGGAGGTGCAACTGTCGCCGGTATGTCGCTATCTGGGCTATTAGTGGTGGGAGGAGGTGCAACTCTCGCCGGTATATTCCCTCGAGCTCGCGCCTCAACAAACTCGAGCCAGGACATAGTATTGGGAGAAGGTACAATCGTCACCGGTATATTGCTAGCTGGGCTTCTAGTACTGGGAGGAGGTGCAACTCTCGCCGGTATATTCCCTCGAGCTTGCGCCGCAACAAGATTGGCCCAGGACCTAGGTATATCGCTAGCTGGGCTACTAGTAGTGGGAGGAGGTGCAACTGTCGCCGGTATGTCGCTATCTGGGCTACTAGTGGTGGGAGGAGGTGCAACTCTCGCCGGTATATTCTCTCGAGCTCGCGCCTCAACAAACTCGAGCCAGGACATAGTATAGGGAGAAGGTACAATCGTCACCGGTATATTGCTAGCTGGGATACTAGTACTGGGAGGAGGTGCAACTCTCGCCGGTATATTCCCTCGAGCTCGCGCCGCAAGAAGATCGGCCCAGGACCTAGGTATATCGCTAGCTGGGCTACTAGTAGTGGGAGGAGGTGCAGCTCTCGCCGGTAAATTCCTTCCAGCATCAGAAGCAGCAACCGCTAGGGGTGGGTAGTCTGAGCTAGAAGAAACACTCGGTGGTATTATAGGGATGCTATTCATTGCAGCTATCAAGCGGTGTGGGAAATCCATCCACCAGCCAGGCGTGAATAGTCGATCCATCCAATAATCTGTATTCCATTGACCAGCAGAGGTCAGGTATGATGATGAGAACGACCCTCAGTCGAAGCTTGAATGTGGATAAGTATACCTTGACATCTACTACAGTAAGATCTAGACCAGGATAAAAACATCGGTCAGCGGGAGACCCTCTACCTCCACTCCGATATCTACAGGAGATCACTGACCCCCATCTGACCTGATATGTTCTCCGACCCCCATATTCCTCCATATCAAACCCCACTGCAGGTGGCCTCGTATCAGCGCACGCGCAGCAAGTATTCCCAGGAAGAAGACATCTCTTGTCACTATCAACCGCATAAAAGTGACCGCAGACGGCATCGTTCGTGACAGATATAGATCTGTTGGACATTTCGAGGGATGGAATCGAGATTGAGAGTAAACGACTTGAGAAGAAGGGGGTGTTGTGTAGACGGACGGATAGGTTAAGTGGATACCGGTACATACCTAAAGCATACGGTCCCTAGTTAATTAAGGCCGCCCGTTGTAAAAATGTGGCGTTGTGGCTGGTGTGAATGTGTGGCTGCAATTAAAAATTAAACACCTTTAGTTTATGCGTAGTAGATAGACAGCGTAAACTTTGAACTAGCCTACCGTAATTATAACGGTAATATGTTGAAACCCGTAGAAATTGCTATGGATAGCCTGAAAACGACCTCCAGGCTGATGCATCCGCCTCCTGTACTGGCCTTTTGCATTATTGGTACTCTAAATCTTCGACATCACCCTCAATACTCAGTATTCGAGGTCTTACGAGGTAAGATTCCGGATCCCCGGTAGTGCACCTGCGGGGCTCATCTAGGTTCCAATGAGATACCTGTAACCGCCCAGCAGAAACAATATGATGCCAGTCTTTGGCGCCAATATGTATCATAAAAGGTCGGCAACGAAGACAGGTGACTGCTTGCTCACGGAATGTTGATATATCACGATCGACAGCTCAAAATTCCCCCGAAGAATAGGATGGGGGTGATAAAGGCTACACCAATAAGTAGTTTGTTGCCCTGTTTCAAGTACATATGTGGAGTAAAGAGGTCGGCGGCCACAGGCGCGATCATGCCTCCCTAAGAGGTAATGGCATTCGGCGGGCGTTAGTAAGAGGGGTAAAGAATTTGTGCACTTACGCCTATCTAGTGCCCGAAACCCACACGTTATATATCTCGGGGGCGAGGCGAGGCGAGGCGAGGCTTGGCGCTAGACGACACCCGTTGTTGGGCGCGCTAGCGGTAGAGGATTTGTAATACGGTCGGAGACGCTGAGAGTAGCCGATTCAGGCGCCAAGGAAACGTAGCGTTTAGCAGTCTTGTATACAGGTGTCTACATCATGGCAACCTCTAGATAGCTCCTTTGTCACGTTCTAGCAGATCATCATCAATACATGTCTCTGCCTGTTTAGTCGAAGTTTGGATTCATCTCGTATTCGTATCGTCGTCGAAGAAGAGATAGAACACAACAGCCGGCCAACACCGTTCGGGATGCCGAGAGGTGCTGCCTAACGTAGACGATTATAACATAACTGGACTTAGTTTTACCTGGAATGTCACAGAATTCCAAATTGTGGGCGAGTATTCAATAGTCCTTAAGCTTCAACCCCCTTGAATCTTCGAATTTCGTCACTCTGTTCGACCCAGGAAACATGGTTAAATCAGGGCTACTAACAGCTCAGGCATAGTAACTATAAAAGCAAGTTGATTGCTTGATGATAACCTCTGAGCTTAGTTACATGTAGATTCCTGTGGATAGGCTGTATGCGTAGGTACAATGTATGTTCAAGATATCACCGAAGGCTGTGATACTTTCTGGTCACACAGTGAATTGCGGCTAAACGGGCAGTGCGATTTTAAACATGATATTGAGCCATATGCGTAATGAGACCATGATAAATTCTTCCCTTTTACTCGTCCCGGTTTCCTATCGGGATGCTACAGGCGGGTCTTTCATTCGAGTGATGATTCGTGACGATAGGAAAATTACAAATAGTGGAGATATGCATTGCAGCAATAATCAATCAATAATCAATCAATGAACAGAGAAATTAATATCAAACATGGAGAACTCTGAACTCCGTGAAGCAGAAAAGAACAAGTAAGAAGACTAGATGACTGAACGGGGCCTACCAGAAAAAATCAAACATGGAAAGTTACCAAAAAGATAAACCCCTGGCGCCACTGACCTATATAAAAAGCAAATTTAAAGACAACAGAAAGTAGAAACGCTATAACGTAGGAATCAAGCGATCTCCCCTGCGCCGTCGTACCAATCATCCCAATTGTCGGCTTCGATGCTGTTTTCCTGACCAGCTGTCTCACCATTCTTGTAAAGGTACTGGATTCCGCTCTCCGCGCAACCCAAACCTGGTAAGGAACCCGTATTTCCGTTTGAACAACTTTCAATACCGGCGACCGAGCATTGAGATTCCGCAGAATTTAAAGAAGCCATGCTAGTCAGGAAATCACCATGCGTGTATTTACATATGTTTTTCTGAATACCGACAGTACCCTCCGGCACCGATACGCCAAACTTTTGTGTGTCGACCTGGTGGGAATCCCATTCTTTGGCATGGCCATTGAAAGCCGCTGAATGCCCGTCTGAAGCGTCCAAAACACAGTAGAGGCAACTTAGACCCGATTGCTCGTACGCCACTGGTTTAGGGGCTGCTTGATGCTTGAAAGAGCTTTCTGAAGGTGTGCTGAAATCATAACCAAGAGCTGGAGGTAAGATCGAGGGTTGTCCGTTGGGAAGTAGGAGAGTTTGTTGATAATGAGATGATTCTGGCGGTACCTGGTCTTTTAGAGGGTAGCTATACATGTCATGCGGATTTGCATACGTCTGGGTGAAAGCCTTGTGGGCCACACATGTTGAAGGTGCTCTCTTCGACGCATCAGATGCATAGGGGCCGATTGCCACGGACGCATCGCCGAAACCGGAAAATAATTCAGGTTGGCTAAGCCCCTGAGAATAAACTGGCGAGCAATCACCCAATCCAGGAGGAGTGGCCAAATATCGAGCGCCGTCAACATTTGCAAGGGATCTTGTATTCAGTTCACCATGAACTGAGGGGAGTTCATTACTGACGGACCCATCAAGTGCCATCGGTGAAGGATGAGAGGTAGTTGCTGGCATACCGCTCATTGGGACGTTATAACGATCTGGCTGTTGGGACGAAACCCGAAAGGTAGATTCGACGGGATACTGTGCGGAAGATTGGGATGAGTCCTTTCTCTCGACGGTACCAGGCATGTTGGAAGCGGAGAGTCGTTCATGATCAAATGACATAAAGTGCTCAGCGGAGGTTTGGTGGGCAGCCAGGGCCGGGGGAGGTTTATTATTTATTGAGGAATTATATCTTTGTGGAGAATCAAACCAAGATATCGGAGACAGGTCTTGGGCTGCTAAGCAATTTGACTGAACATCTACCGTCTGAACGGGAGCTGGGAGCTGAGGAGCAGTCTGAGGCATGTCATCTCTTTGTGGACTGCTTGGACTGGCCTGGGACGAAGGCGATGTTCCTCCTTTTTCGGGTGAGCTTTCGGACACCGGTGTGGGGTAGTTATCTGCTGCTGCTGCTGCTGTTGTTGTTGGTGGTGTTATTTTTGGCGTTATTGTCGGGGTTTCAAATGCTCGGGGAGGGCGGCCGGGGAATAGGAACCCTTCTACAAAGATGTTCTCGATCTTCGACCTTGGCCTGGATGGGTTATCTATAATTATGGGTCAGTATATGAAAGTTTAAAGTACACGTGGCTAAGGACCCCATACTTGGACCAAAATTCACACCTGGATGCTTTTCAGAGAACATTTGGTAATCAGATGACTCGTAGTAGTTTTTAATTATCGATTCCCATTTCGGCTTCAAGTGATTCGCAAAAGACCTGGAAAAGTCCGAACTGGCCTCCCGACAAGCGACATCTTTTTGCAGGACTTTAGTATTGGATATGTATATGTGGGTATTGTTGTATGGCCAACCTACATTTTGCCGCTTCCGAGTAGCTTGACACATCAGAACCCATTTGTATTTTAAACACCTCACACCAAGGAGAACCTCTTTTCTTTTTCAAAAGATTTTCTTTCTCCTTATCTGCGGGAGGAACTGGATCGAACAACTTCCTCTGACAAGAGGTTGTTTCCTCATGATCCTTAACCTGCCCTGCATCTCCTCGGAAACCACAGTTATTGCACTGTGCTGGCTTTATATGGTACCGTTTCATGTGTTGGCTTTCATGGCATCTCTAATTAGTGTCCCATAGTTTATAATATCGAGATCTCTTAGGATTATACTTACGGGATCTTTGGAACATGCTTTGAGCATAAGCTGAACTTCCCATCTGGACGAAAGTCCGGGTGAGAAGGGTTGGCCACGAAGACTGGACAAAGTTGCGGCGGCCATGTTGTTTGTAGTTTTTCCTTCTTTATATCTCTGATGTTATCCTCGTCTTCCTCTTCATTTCCATCCTCAGAATTCAAACATTTTCGCTTTCTACCATTAGTGCTCGGACTTTTACTATACCCCTGAGTCAACCTTGAGCTTTCCCCAGACTTGACTGGTGGAACTGTTCCTTTCCCCTTCACTCCCTTCCCCGAAGAATGATTTCTAACTCCAAAGTCGGAATGATCTTCGTCAGAAAAGATCTGGGCTAGAAATTTATTGGGTAGGGTGCGAAAGATATCGTCATCATCGCCGACACTGCATATTTCGGATCCGGATAATTCAGAGTCGGTCTCTGTACTATCAATCTCGGAAGGACAGTGTCACTCTTCCTGCTTCGCAAGATTAACCATCTCAAGAGATGACTTCTCCACAAGTTCTAAGCTGTGGCTGGAAACGTATATAGGTAGAGCAGCGCTGATATCAGAGGCACCGGCATTGAAATCATCTTTGAACTCCTCTTTGATTTTAACTTCTAGGGGTCCTTGAGAAGTTGACCTGGTTGAAGGGAGAGGATTCAATGTCACTTCGGTATTCGGTCTTTTGGGAAACTTGAAACGGCCAAGTCGACTTTTTCTTAATGGGCCGTCTGTCTTGACATGGGACTCCACTTGAGATTTGGATCCTAGTAACTTAATAGAAGGCCAAGCGGTACCGAGTCGCGTTGTTTCGGGAATAGATGGCTCTTCGTGAATATGAAATTGTTCTGAATTTTTGAATACGGACTCCCCAGCGACTGAATCAGTTGATGAGCTGGTAATCCCGAAACCACACACATATATATTAGCCTATCCCATCCTCCCTCAATAGGAAGACGTGGTTATAATTAGGTGCTATCATACACCAGGGGATATATCTTACCCATCTATCGTGCTTTTCCAAATAGAGTCGGAGTCGATATAATCGCATACCGATGATTTCGGCGGGTTTTTTGATTCATTGTGATGCCGACGATCCCACGCTGTCTTCAGAGGATTCCATGAGTCAAAACTCGAAGGCGATGTCAACCAGGCTCCAAATAATGGAGCAGTAAGTGACAGTTTATGCCTTCTCGCACCGCGCAAGTGAGGGGACTTTGTTGGCGTATTACTTGCGCTTGCGTATACTCTGTCTTCGCCGATAGCTGAGGGCTGAGAGCTATTAAACAATCAACTTTAGTTGGGATATATATTCACTGCCAAAAGAGGGGAAAGGAGTTTCGCTTACTATAAACGATCATCGATAGAAAGGCACTCAAAGCCACTTCTAACGCCAAGGCTGCTTAAAGAGGTAATATCAGGCTCATTGAATGTTTTCGTCATTTTTTCTTGCGCTCGACTTGGACGAGGCGCCTGCATGAGGCTATAAAAGTTGAAGATCGCAGCACAGGTTGAAGGAAGTGGTCGTTTGAAGAAATTAACCACAAGTAGTAAAAAGAGATCCCGAAGTTCTCACGTAGTGATAGGAGATTCAAAGGCTGGCGACAAGAGAATCCGGTTCTTCCTTATATGTTTCTATATATTTCTCGCTGAGCGCTCGTGGCCTGTGCGCCGTTCTTTCTTACAAGGATCTCTAGGACCAAACTACACTTGGGTCGTTCCAAGGTGAGTGCTCATTCCCGTTGTACATGTACCGTATTTTCTGGGTCGATGACGGACCTGGGTCGATAACCCAGCCAAAGCAAACCCCACTGTGTATTTCCCTTTACTCCTTACCCCACGGAAAAAGGCTAGGCACTTGCCTTATCTTGTGTTTATTCTGTATTAAAAGTTAGTTTTTTTTTCTTCTTGTTACTTTTTTCGAATATAATAGTGTAGATGGCCCGAAATAAATCAATTACACATACTTCAACTATTGAAGACACACCCTTTCTGTCAAAATTTGCGATTTTTTTGGTTTTGATTGGCCACTAAGTGCATTTGATATTCGCCACCGAACCGGACCCGGGCCCAAGCCTGAAAATAGAATCTTCAAGATCATGCATGTGCCAATTAAATTTCAGTTCGTCAATTAGTTGTAGAGAGATGTGCGCATGCTCCTCTAATTTGTATTTCATTTTTCCCTTCCTATTCTAATCATTAGCTAAAGCGCCAGACAACTCAAATTCTTTCTTCTTCGCGACGAGCCCATCCGTACCACGTTCGACTTGCATGGCATGGGAGAGGGGGGAGTTGGATGACCGCGCACCATTATTTTCTTTTTCTACCAGGCAACCATTTGCCTACATGTTGTGCTTTCGGCTCACCACTAGCTAATTGAGGCAAAGTGGCCAGTGCGTTTTAAAGTCCTCAGAACAGGATAAAGATAATTAATACATGTGCTGTCGCTCACGGGGTATTGACGGACACTGGGTCACCGTGTTGACGGACACGCCAATTGCAAAAGAGAGACAGCCAAGCCCGTTTTACCTTCGATTATTGGTCAAAAAGCCCCTGTCCGTCAACACCTGGTGTCCGTCGGTACCCCCGTGAACGTACTCTATGTATGTACCCTATGGATAGTGAAGACATCCGGTGCCATGGCGCCAATGATATATACTCTACCTGCAGCTGGAAGACATGTACAGTCGCCCTCCGTTATAACGAACCTGCATATTCCAAAAAAATTCGTTCGATATAGCAGATTATTCGGTACAGCAGGTAAAATTCTGTCGTTTTCTATGTGGCTTTTTTTGGCATTCGGTATAGCGGAGGGGAACTGTAGATTCACCTTATTCTTAGCTGACCGGCGTTCAATGGGTAGAAAGCAGAGCTACATGTAGAATAACATACGCAACGGCACAGTAAGTTACAACTCGACCATTTGCTGTTCCTGACTTGGTGGGGAGATGCTCTCGATCGAACCAGAATCAATAGAGTAAACTGCTCCGGATCGACTAGCATTCGAATCCTTATTGTCCACGAGAGTGTTGCAGCTTGCTGGCCACGACTACTGTTGGTTCGCTTCCCGCCCGGTACCGGTATGTAGCACGTTGTTTAGCCATCAGTGAGTGAAAACGAGGGTTGGATGATGTAGGACATGTCACCACCCCTCCATCAAGCAATTAGAAGCCACATCCTAGAGCGACAAGAATATAAAATTCCTTTCTATCCCTAATCCCAGTATTCGGCCACGATTGGTAAGAATTTCAAGTGTCACCCGCCACAACACACTTAACTAGATCAGACCAAACTTTATCTCAACGACGTAGAGCACTCAGAGTACATACTCCTCAAGAGACTACATTTACATACTAGAGTATGTAGAGAACTCTACCGCATAGATACCCGCTCAACCATACTTACTGCATCACCGCTTCTCCTTAAAGATCAACGCGCATAAGCTATATAAGTGATTGGGTAGGGGGTGAATTGTGTAAGGATCGCGTCTCCCCTCGTGCGCGTACTCGTTGGAAATATAACTCAGAGTAGCCTTGGTCGCACTTGGGGTTGCCCGGGCAGGCAATGGAATGGAGGTTGCAGCCCAAGCAGGCGATGGAGCAAGCAGGCCAAGCAGGCACTGCAGGTGGCAGGCGCTGGAGGTAACAGGCGCTGGAAGTGACAGGCACTGGAGGCGGAGGCGACAGGTACTGGAGGCAATAGGCACAGCTGGAGGTGACGAGCACTAGAGGTGGAGGTGGAGGTGGCAGGCACTGGAGGTTGCATGCCCGGGCAGAGATGCATGCGTCTCGATGCCTTCCTTCCCCTCATCACTGGAACATGTATAGGAGTTGATTGGTGACCGTTGAACTGTCCTGGTGATGAAATCCAGATGGCGATGAGATGGTGGGTGGAGGGAGGTGCAGAATTTCAGTCACTGCTGCCTGCGGTAATGCCTCCCGCGTCAGAATCTAAAGTGAATTGTGCCCATCGAATCTTTTCTATTTTCATCCAATCAAAAGCTGTTGGCCGTTAAATTTTGTGTTCTCAGAAACGGTAAGTACATCATGTAATGTCGCACATTCTGTACCGTACCATGCGCGGCAACACTGCTGGTGGAAGGAGTCGGAGTCTACTCTATTCCTAGGCTTCCGGCGCGGGAAAGGTCAAGTGCCTGGCTGCCGGTTTTCATGTCCCTTTCTTTGCTCTTCGTTGGCACTCATCTTACCAACCTATGTATGTACGTAGGTTGTCGCTTGCGTTTCTCTGTTCCTCCCATTCCGTCCATTGATTTCATTCCATCCATCGATTTCCCCTGCTCATTTAATTCCACTTCCTACAATTCTCTGTCCTTTCCACTACTACTGGATTACCCCAGCTGGAAACAACGGGCCGCCCTCCGTCCAAACAACACAGACGATACCCCGCGTATGCGGCGTGTCTTGGACCGGCGTGCGCAGTGCTGTGTCGACTAAAAACCCACCAACGCATCGCAACTAATATACCACGTCCTTCTTACTTTACCTATACCCCACAGAGCATGCCGGCAAAACACAAAAGAAGAAGTCGGACTAGATATTCCGGTTCGTCATTTCTAGCGCTCCCGCGCCCAAACAGTTGTTTGCCGTCACTCAACGTACGTTGAGTAACAAGGATTACAGCAAGAACCAGTTAGAGTTGCAGGATCTCCAGGTTCTTCTTCGTTTTGTTATTTCTATTGGCCGAAACTCCCTCCCCTGTGAATTGTCACGTCAACCCGCAGCCTAGCGCTACGCTCGCCACCTTTCAGAACAACAAGCGACACATCAGACAGTGGTGTTGAAAGAATAACCAGCGTGCTGTTTTCTGGTTTTTCGGCACCAAACCCTCTGACCTCTGAGATCTTCTGCTACATTTTTCCAGAGACGGAAGAAGCAGGCAGTATTCGCCGGGTGATGGTGAACAACATGTACATGTTACATGTGTTATTCCCTTGGTTCCCTATCCAACACATGTAGAGCGCGTCCAGGCTATTCCAGAACTCGAATTACGCCACAGAGATTTGCGAGCTCCACGGTCCCTTCTCACCCTCAGGTACACGGTTAGGCCTGTCGTTCTTGCGGAGTACTTACTACCTTAATGTTACCTGTTGTCGATGGTCGGTGGTTTTGAATTCGCCAGTGGAAAAGCCACACGAATTCTACAATGATTGCAAGATCCAACAGCCGACAAAGGCGTCTTTAGCTAACCAACATCGAGAAAATCTTAGATTTATATCAAGTCACCGGTACCAAGAAATTTTAGTTCTCATGCTGCTCTCACTTACAGGAGATCTTCTTCTTCTGCTCTCCTTAACCAGCCTCTGCTACTCTACCCCTGTACTGCGAGAAATATTACCTTAGCGCGGATGATAACATGCGATAAGTTTAATGGGTATCTCTGCGATGCTTTTATCGGGCAAGCTTCGAAGATCTGTACATTTTTATCTCGTTAAGAAAAGAATGTATTTTAGCGGAGTACGAGAGTGATATAATGATAATGGCTAGTATAATAAGGCGAGTGAGTTGTTGTGACGATAAAGGAACCATTGATTGATAAAGTGATCGCGTAAATAGCCAGCATTTAAAATGAAATTAGGAAGAGAAAAATAAATAGAAAAATGAGGAAAGACTTAAAAGATAGTGAAATCAATGATAGTAAGCGATAGGGACTTTGGCCCCGGGCACTCCTCTCAACAATCCAATAGACTGATCCAACCAAGGAAACATAGTATACCAATCGACAGGAAAACGAAAAACAATACATGAGATCTTCCACTTATTTCCATTCAGCCTTGCCCCATCCCCCGAACAATTCTGTTCGCATGAACGACCTATATCGCTGTCTGTACCTTAAGTAACTGCAGCATGTCCATCCAACCAACGATTCTGTCAGGTTTTCAACACCTCCGTCACTCCCCATCAATTCCCGTCTAGATGCTGTCACGTAGCTATAGTGGCGCACTCAGGAATTTTATATGGGTGATTTTTATAATTCTTTTCGTCTCTGTAGACGATTTAAGAGCATTCGCCGAGTGTTAAGAGCCAAAATTGTATCCGGCTCTGTCTGTGCTTTTATCGAATTCGTAGGACCATCTCTCCTTGACGACTTGACAGTAAGCCATCTGAGTATCCTCTCTCGGAGGGAATGACTGGGTAGTGAAATCACGCGGCTCGTAGGGCTGAGAGTCGGCCCCGGAGAAATTGTCGTTATGTGCAAATTCCCTGTTGCTTGATGTCGGGGGGTGTCTTTCGGGATATAAGCTCTGATCTACCCGCATCCCCATTCTTAGTAAGTCTTCTTCAATACCCGTACCAGCTTGAAATTGAGAAATGTCAGGAGTCCCTTGACCATTCCTCGCCGAAGAGAAAGCATTTTCCAAGTGACGAGTTTGCATGTTGTGATGAATTTTCTGCAACTGGGTTGGAGTGTAGCCTGTACGATTGTGCCTCTGGCTGGCCGGTTGACTCGGGCTGCCGTGCTGTCTACTCCGTGGCACGCCAATCTTATTCGCCCCCCGTTGACTCCGCGGGTCTAGTGAGGCAAAATTGGTCGGGTTTGGGCGGTAAGTAGGGGTGTTGCTGTTCTGATTATGAGGGCCGAGCACGGCACTCTGTTGAGTTCGATAACGACCTGAGGCCCGATTACTGCTAGAGTAGTCACGTGCAGGTGACGGACCGGGAAGCCGAGAGCCGTCCCTTGTTGGATCGGGTTCTTCGCGTGGCGGTACTAGGGGTGTTGGGAACAATCCATTCACATTGGATATTCCCGGTTGGGCGTGAGACCCGCCAGCTGTATATGCATGATTGTAGGCTGAAGGCTGGCGAGAATCTGAGAACTGGTGGGAGCTCAAGATTTTATCTGCTACCGGAGGAGGAAAAGTAGCAAAGGCATCATTCCTTGAGGACGTTTCAGGCCAGGAATACCCCGGGAGGGAGGGTGGAGACAGTGGGTTCTCAGCTGGGCGAGGCTGACCGCCCTGAACCAGAGGATGTTCTGCTTCCAAGTCACCATAGGCCACCACAGATTGGCCAGGGGCCGCAGCAGAGCCGGGGGCCGCAGCAGAGCCGGGGGCCGCAAAAGATTGACCAGATGCCTCAAAAGATAGGTTCTGGTGTAGATTCATAGAGGCTTCGTTTGCCGCCGATGCAGGGGCGGGGTCGTTGGGGTGACGAGGAAACCACGAAATCCTCCAAACAATTCCCCCTATATCCCAATGATCGTAAAGAGGATGTTCTGAATTTATGTAAGTATCTCGTATATTATCAATATAGCGCAGAGAGATGTACTAACTAGGGTTGAATTGGTTCATAACCTCGTTACCCGCCATAAATTTCTGGAATTCCGGTGACTCAAGAAAACGCTGCCTCAACGCTGCTGCTCCCTCATCCTTTTGGGCGAAGGATGCGAAGGCTTCGGAAATCTCGGGCATGGCTTCACTAAATTTGATATCTTTCCAAACATCGTCAGAGTTTCAATTCCAGAAGATTAACTCCCCGCGGGACTTACAGGTTTCTGCGAGTGGATGGATGGACAAATCGGAGCCATGGTCCTTTTTAAAGTATTCGGACCAAGTTCGACACCGCACAGTCTTCGCATTGGGTTGAGGTTGATCTGGATCCGGGTTATTTGCTTGACCGGAACATGTCTGCATGTGCTCCAACTCGGCCTGTCGAGTATCCTTATACTTCCTTCCGCAGTGGCACGTTTTTGGAGGATGTCTTCTCAGGTTATGCTGGCTAAAGTGTTTTTAGTACATGGACCTTGCCTCGTTTAAATATTTGAGGAATAAATACCCAATTCTGTTAAAACCTTTCCAACTGCAGTCATGATGCGATTCACCTTTCTGAAATCTTCTGTCGTCTTTTTCAGCCAGATAATACGTGCAAGGATGATATAACGCTTTCTCTCTCTCATCCTGATCGTCCTCTTCGTCTTTTTCGTCGTCGCTGGCACCCCGAGACAGCACCGCCCCCGTTCGCCGCGAATTATTTGTAACGCCGGCCCTGCCGCGCCTCGCTCTACCAGAACCCTTTCCGCGCCGGTTTGGAGCATTCGTTGCACCCCCGTCCGCTGTACGCCTGGTAGTATATGAACTAGATAGAGTATTATGATAATGTGTTTCGAATCCGGCCGAAGATAATGCTGTTAAGGTGTGAGAGGGATAGCTGATGTTGCCGATATTGGTGTGAGAGGGATAGCTGATGTTGCCGATATTGGGGTCGAGCGTAGTATTTCTGGAATCCAAAGCATTGGTAATGTGACTAACACGCTCCCAAAGTCCAGATTCACGTTCGGCAGCGCGAGAGCCTAGATTTGTTGCGGGCGGATCGATCGGTTGAGGCTCTGGGGCGGTACTGTGTAAATGTATTAGATATGATGTCCCTCAACATGGTTGTTTACTATGTACTGGGGTTGTTTATATCTGAGGTGAAGAAGAGGAAGAAGGGGGGAGAGGAGACGAGAAGCGAAGACACGTATGTACTCACCTTCTCGTTTCTATAGGAGCATAAGCTAGAGTGTGGCTCGGGTGTACCCCATCCCACGGTCTATCGTATGAGTGGAGCCAGCCCTCTACTCGACCCGAGTTCAGTACGGGAGTACTACCCATATCTTCAAGTTCACCCTCTAACGAAAAGCCTAAAGATGAATGGCAGGTATCGAAAAAGGCTTATTATCGATATGGCTTAAGATAACTGAGGATATTCACAATCTATTAATGAAGAGATGCGTAAACAAATATCGTAAGAGTGGTGGTCAGAAATATGCTGAACAGTTTATAGCCGGTCTAAACAAAAGGGAAGGGAGTATGTAGAGCGAAACGGGGAGTCTATATCAGAGGAGGGGATGCGACTCTCCAGCGTGGGGATAACCACGCCTCGGGAAGATGGTAGGCCAGATATGGACTCTGCCTACCTATCGAGCTTAAGCTACCGCACCAAGTACCTACTCTAGCTATATACTTGGGTGAAGGGAAACGCCACAGTACTACCCCAAGTTATTCGGTTAGGTGCATGTCCAGGGGTTACCATGAGGTCCATGAGTTCTCATCTATGCTGCCATGCAGGGACTGCATAAATACGAGTCCAATCGACAAAAAGGCGAATAGGAAACATATGGGGTGCATTCATGAGGTCTCAATCATATAATCCATACCGGGAATAGTATAAAATTGATATTTACGCGAACATCCACACCTAGCTGTTATCGCGGTCAACAAGAGTAGCTCTTATTGAAGGAGATGCTGTTCGCCGACGGCGCCAGTACTGGACATATATAAAGTCTTTTGGCTTTGACTGAGTGCTCTATGAAAAACAAGGCTTTAGTTAAAGCCTAGCATAAAGTATTTGTTCCGCCTTGCCTAGTTACGGTCCCTGCGCACCTCCATGCAATTGGTTAATTTTATCGAAAGCCAATGCCTACATGTATAGCTACATGTACATGTATACCTAAAGTTCAATCTTGCAGGACGGCTGGTATGGAGTAGAATCTCCAGGTTCGTAAGTATACAATATACATATAAGTACTTATTCGACTTGTATATAGAAAGACTTTCCACATGTATGGAGATAAGTCTCTTGACGGTGGCCGTATACGTAGTCGCAGGACTGTACAGTTACGATTATCAACAACCGTAGACCAACGTACCTCTCCTCGTAGCAGATACATCTAAACGTTAACCATGGGGCGGCAAGCAATATCGTACGTACATGTATGTACATGTAGTCTTCCAAATCTGGATTTCCTCTTTGTTCACTCAGAGATATTATGCGTACATTGAGCACTCTACTTCCATATCTTGGATAAATGGACCAACCAAGACTACAGGTGACGATAGAATCTAAAACTACTGTGCGTAGTTTGCATGCACGACTTTTGAGTACTCCGGATTCTCCGTGCGGGGCCATCCTATTGCCGTGGATTTGGATTATATCCTAGAAAGTGAATGTAGCCTTATCGATCTTTGCCAAAAGAAAAATTTACTGAGTACAGCGATTCACAGGCATTTGGCGAATACACCCATTTGACGAACAGGGGTCACGGCCAATAAGAATCAGGATATCTTAGTCAAACTCGCAGTTTGACTGGTTGCTGGCTGGTTGCTACATACAAATTCGCCAAATGGGTGTATTCGCCAAATGCCTGTGAATCGCTGTACTCTACTTGCGGGCCCGATTGCTGATTGGGGGCTTGGGAGAAAGGCTTTTTTTCAACGGGCTTCACATTCGCTGTGCAGCAGCTTCCTACATGTAGGTACATACATATCTTGCCTGGCCTCACAACGTATTTGCCCGCTATCCAAGTTCCGATCAGACGGAACAAAAAATCCGGCAAGTTGAGCACACACAGCACACCCTAGGCATACGGGGCGTCCTTTTTTCCCCGGGGGAGTAGGTACATGCATGTAGGATAGAGTACTCTCAAGGTTGCAACTAGGATTCGGACAAAAATTTGTATCGGCGGGATGCTTGCTTGGCCATGATACTGGTTCGGGTGTGTAGCTAAACATGGCAAAAGGTGCAATCCATGAAACCAGCTCTGCATGTGCCCATGGGTGCTGTACCTACTGCTCATATAACGCTTGCGAGAAGAATAGCTTTATCACTTCAGCAGAAACAATCCAGACACAGTCAGCCTGGGTTCAGAGTTCGATCTTACACCGCTGAACTGGTAGAATTTTTCCAAGCAACGTACAGCGCCGTTTCCATAGAGCCTCACAAGCTGTAGCCAAGGAATAGAGATTTGGAGGTGAGTGCTCACTCGCCTCGCCTCCCAGTTAGGATGCATACGTCCCCTCACTTACTGATCAATCGTTCCTGAGCCCTCAACCAAAAATTTCTCGCTCGCCTGCTGGATCAAGTAAGTTTTGTCTGTACCTTGTGGTACACACGTGCACTGCCATAGCCTCGCTGAGTGAGTGGGGATCTGGTCGAACTGCCGAGCCCTCTGTCTTCCTCCTTTCCTCGCTCATTCTTTTTTTTCTTTCTGTGCTTGCCCTCGCTCTGGCCTTCCTACCTGGCACAATTCCCCTTCCCAACTACGTATCCTCGATCAATGTCAAGGAAATCGGGAAACGAGGACACATATGTTTCGAAGGTTGACAGCATCGACAACACATCACCCCATCCCATCCCATAATTCATAATTCATACCTTCCACTGCAGCTTCTGCGCCGGTGTCAGTACGAAACTGTCTAGCCTCCTTACACTAACCAAATCTCTAGGTCTAGCAGTTAGTAAACAATCCTTCCTTCCTGGTCCCTCAACATGTCCGACGGAGACCGATAAAATAAACCCTCTGATATAGACACCACCTACAAATCTCTGTCTCCACTCAAACTTACCGCACAAACATCGTCGATGTGAATCTCGAACTATGCGCCGGTACTTGATTGACCATGAATCCGTATTGCTACTACCTAACATTCATCATCTCTAGGCTACAGCTTACCCAGACAAGATCTCGTCGCGCCGGCCCCCTGATCTGAGCGGGGTAGATATGTTGACTGGAGAGGCGGCATTGCATTCTCCCGACGATAAAGGTCGAGCACTGTCTCATTATCGTCGTCTTGGCATGCACACATTGTGCGAATGGATGCCTGACGAGGACAACAGGAACACTGCACATTGCATCCAACAGGTTGTAAAAACTTCACGATTCTACTTCCTACGGCATTTTAACTGCCATATCGACCCGCCGGCCCACGAAAATGCTGATATCTTTGTGTATTATTCCCAGCATTTAACTATATCGTCCCCCGCGGAGACATTCTATCTGCTCGCATCAACCGTTTTCGCTCCTTTTCAAGCACGCCTGGACATGTATCCCAGGTTTTAGCTATGAAGGTAAGTGCCCACGAGTCCAGGGACATGTTCAATACTGACTGACATTGTAATGGTAGTCGTCACATTCGTTCATAGTAACCCCCCCCCCCCCCCCCCCCCCCGGGCCCAAAACCTCCCCTCACAGACCTTTCACCCCAAAGGGATACATCAGTCGAGCACCTCAACATCGGTCTAAACCCCGCAGCGGCAGAATCTGTTTCAAATCCTCTACCCATGTTACCGGCCAATCCTAATCTGCTGGTTCCACACGTAAATCCTCTCAAGAGCCGGATATCCAACTTTCATCTTGCAATATTTACTTCACTGTCCGAACCCTTAGGCCCCCGAAATAGCAATCACTTCATTTACGATCAGTCGCGAAAACATACATGCACCCTTCGGAAAGCGACTATGAGCAGTAATACTTACCCCGTCAAGCCCCGTCGCGTCAAGAATTCCTTGTTTTCGTGAAAGATCCTATCAAACACTGGCCCCCACCAAATGACATCAGCAAGGTCACAAGAACAGCCTCTAAAAACAAAAAAAGGAAAAGCAATATCAGCAAGGCCTATCAGGCTACGCTCGGTTATTGCAGCATATTTCTGCCCGATAATGAACGTTTCAGTCGAAGCGGACACACAGGATCATACGACGATTTTCAAAATAAAAACTCGACTACATTCGAGCAATCTCCCATACCTCATGTGTTTTATCGTGGATCACATAGGTACGATACGCTTCTGGGCGACAAGGTACAGTTAGTTTATCTCCCCGAGTTACTGTGGTAATAGGATATCATCAATTTGAAAAATCGATTTCATTTGGCAGGGCCCCACGATCGAGTGCACGCCGCCGGCCATGCACGCAGCCATGCACGCGGGCCACATTGCATATATGTGTGGGAGAAATGTGCGAATAGAGTAGATGGTCTTAGTGCTCCCAACACGAGAACCATACGAGTCCCTGAGTGAATTTAGCTAATATCACTGCGCAGCATGAATGCAACCTTTTACCACTGTGGTTCAGCTTATCTCAGCTCAGTTCATGTTTTCAACTCGCTTGTGAATTAAGAGAATTAAGATCATCACGTAGGGTAGATAGCGCTAGCCACTTAGCCACTTTTGTTTAGTCCCAACATCGCGGTAAGCCACATGACGCGGGATCTCGCGGCAGCAGCCGAAGAGCCGCACATTCCCGCCATCGTCCCTGAGCTAATGATTGCGCCAGGGCCCAGCGCCCAGCGCCCAGGGGCCAGTGAGATGGCCATCTTGCGTCAGCACCCGTGTCGCATGTGGTGTGTTGGCCCATGTAAAATGTGGAGAAACTCTATGTATTCTAGATATGTACATATAGCCATGTCACAATAACACAGATTGCGGGGAAGAGAGAACGTGCCCTGATTACATGTAACATGTACATACTTCACGCAAATTCTTAATCTAACATTTCAACCACACCGAAACTGTCTGGCCCCCAAAAATCTGAGTCCAAACATACCAAATACATGTATGACATGCTTTATCCATTCATATCGTTCGAGTAAATATTATAGACATGTACACTATGAAATAAACATGACACTCCTACACACAGGTACAAAGAAAGTGCCCATCATACTCTCCCCCAAGGCATCATATCAATACTTGCTACTCGCAACAAAGTCAAACTAGTACCTCTCCAGCATCCACTCTCGCCTCTCCTCCGCTGGGATCGTCTCCATGAGCGCCCTCTCGCCCTTCTTTACGATGAGATACTTCTCCATCGCGTCGACGCCCACCCACTCCTTCAGCTTCTTGTGCTCCTTGAGCGCGTCGAGGGCCTCGCCTAGATCTTTCGGCAGCTTCTTCACGATGCCCAATCCGTTTCGCTCACGCGAGGTCATCTTCGAAGGGTCATCTATGACCTGTTAGTTTCCCGTTTTCTTTAGGTGGGTCTGTTGCGGGGAGAGTGTTATTTATTACCTTTTGCGCCCGTGCCAGGAAGCTTGGTCTTCGCCTTAAGCCCTAGACAGCCAGCACCGATGACAGCAGCCATGGTGAGATACAAGTTTGCAATACCATCGATACACTTGATCTCCCAGTGCGCGTCCTCTTTGGAGCATCTCCTGAGCGGAACCTCCTTATTCTGGTCGCCCCACGCGACCCACGTTCCGCCCGCCCAGCACGTATCCAGCAGTCTCTCATAGCTCGCGTTATTGGGCATCGTGAGCGCCGCGACCGCCCTCAAGCTCTCCAGCACACCCCCGAAGAAATGCTCCTCGTTCTCGCGCGTCGGCGGCGAGATCGAGACGTGCGCGTGCGCAGCTGTCCCTGCACGTGTCGCAAAGGGCTTCGGGTGGAATGTCGCACGTATCTTATATTTGGCGCAGATGTGGACGATTGTTTCGCGCGTGTGGTATAGCGTGTCGATACTTGCGAGCGGGGGAAGGGGGCCGGTGACGATCTCGTACTGGCCGTCGGCGCTCTCGGGGTGGAAGAGTAGGACTTCGACGCCGCTGCTTTCGAGCGCTTCCACGCACTCCATGAGGATGGCCATACTTTCGTTTTGTAGGGAGCGGCCGGTACTCCATGCGTGTACGCCGCTGATTGGTTCCAGGTCGTGGGTCCCGTCGGGGTCGCGGTGCAGGAACACTACTTCGGTCTCGATGCCGAGGAGGAAGTCGACACCGTGGTCATCTTTGGCTCTGTGCGCGGCTTTGGAGAGTACGGTGCGCGGGCAGATGTCGACTTCGGCGCCGTCGGGGTGGTCGGGGTGCTTATCGCGGAGGAAGCACATGACGCTGGCATGGCCGGGAGCGTAGCCCTCGCAGCTGCGCAGGCTGGACCAGTCGGGGACGACCATGAGCTGGCCGCAGTGCTTGAAGTCGTCTGTGGGGCTGTCGTCCTGCAGGATCGAGAGGGATGCGGAGGTGACTTCGAGGTAGGAGCGCTTCTCGACCATCTTATTCATCTGCTTGACGGAGACGACGCGTAGGCGCAGGGTGGAGGTGTAGTCGAGCCATTCGAGACGGAAGAAGCGCACTTTGGGGTTTTTGGAGAGGAACTTGTTGAGGAGGTGGACTTCGGGGTGGGCATAGGCGACGGAGTCGGTGGCGAGGGGCAAGTAGGAGGTGGAGTCGGTGGGGGTGAGATTGAGTTTGTAGAGGGTGTTGGAGTTGTCGAAGAGGAGCTTCGTGGTGATGTCGGCGGCCTGCTCGAGGGTAATTTGCCCTTTTATTACGCGCTTTACTAATACCTGTTTTATTTGGTCAGAAACTGCCATGTTGCGAAGGACGGTGGGGGGCGCACCTCGCTCAAGACTTCGCGCATCTGGGAGTTTGCGAGGGCGAAAGTTTCAGGGAACCAGTGCCCGTCGGTGCTCCACAGTAGCTTGTTGGTTGGTGCTAATTCAAAGAGCTGCTTTATGACAGTCTTCTGCCCGTCCTGCGAGATCATTGGGAAGACTTCGCCAAAGTCCAGGTAGACATTCTTGTAGACAGACGCAAGGTAGCCAGCCTCTTGGGTATAAGGATATGCAGAATGGAGTAGCACCATCGGCACCTCCGGATACGCTTTTATAAAGGCTTGCAGATGCCTACCCTAAATCAGCACACGCGCACAAACATTTCGGGGGAGGGAAATAATTACGCAGGATTCGCCTTTAGCAGGTTAATGTCGTTGTCGCCGAGCCCCGTATGGAACTGCAACGGCTTCTTCTCCTCATGCTGCGTAATGCTCCTCGAGATCTCCCTCACCAAAAAATCATTAAACACCTTCTCCCTAATCCTAAACCCCCCCGACCCCGCCGCACACCTCGCCTTCCGCAGCACCGCCGCAAACGCATCCATCAACGGCCCCGCCTGCGTCTCCTCCGGCGAGATGTCAAGCCCACTGCGATAACACACCACTGACTTGAACCCTGCCACCTTCGGATCATTCAGCGCGGCGCGCATCACCGCGGCGAACTCGGTCGCCCACTTGTTAAAGATCTCTGGGCCCACGCTCGAGATCTCCTTCGGGTCCTCCGGCAGCTCACCGCAGTACTTCTGCAGGATCGTCTCTGCGACCTTCTCGATGCGTACTATACGGCGCGTGCCGCTGGGTGTGAACTGGTCGTGCCACGCGAAGGGCTCGACGCTGTCTTCGTCAAGTCCGTCGTCCATGAGGATGCATTGGGTTCCGGCGAAGCACTTTTTCGCCCACTCATTTTCATCGAGGGTTGCACGGTGGGTCTTGACGGCGGCCCAGGTGGGGTCGCAGCCGAGCCAGGTGGAGAGCTGCTTGACGGCGCGGTGATGCGAGAGGGTGTGCAGTGTGTCGTGGAGGGCGGGGCCGGAGGCTTCGGTGGTGATGGATTCGAGGGGGGCGGCGGAGGTGTGTGTGCTGCGGAGGAGGTTGTGGGCGTGGTTGTCGATGAGGGGTTGGGTGAGGATGAGGGTTTGGAGGTCCGAGATGGAGGTGGGGGGTGATTGGGTCATGGTGGATGTGATGAGTGTAGAGGACAAGGTGGGGTATCTATACGGAGGTGGGGTATCTATAGAGGGGTATCTATAGAGAAGTATGAGGGGGCGTTCTAATCTGCGATGAGTTTGTAGTGTTAGGATGAATGTCTGACTGGAATGTCTTTAACAAGAAGGGCAATTACGAGAGCAATAGAATTGAGCAAAAAGTGCAATGTCAACAGCAAAGAGAATGATTCTCAAAGACCAAGGAGGAATTGCCCACTGATAAGCTGCCTGGCTGTCCCTCGATGAGAATGCTGGTGGGGCTGATGGAGTGTGATGACGCTGGATGTGGCGATGATGGTTGTGGGGTGAAGCTGAACCTCAACCCTGAATTATTACTCTGGATTGTGGGGAAGCTCACGTGTGCCCCGAGGGAGCTGCAGGAAGAAGCGAGCAGGGGCCAGGGGTGGGTCTTGGCAAATGCAGATCTCGCTAATCCTTTCCCGTGCTGTCGACATCTTACATGCAGGGCAACTCTGGGACCATTGCGCGACAGCATTAAGGTACCTCAATTACATCATCTACATCATCTACATCATCTACATCATCTACATCATCTCCAGTACATTCTATCAAAATATCTATTCAGATTCTTCGATTCCATACTCGAAGTCGGCTATCGCATATCTACCCTCCCCCTCGCTCGGCCACAGACACCCTCAGCTGAGTGTAGAACCCCTCCCCTTCTGAAGTACCATTGCAACAGACACTGACGAATTGATGGCCTCTCATGCTCAATCTTATCCTCCCCGAAATCCTGCTCTTCAACCTGCACAGCGTTCGGCAAATTTCCCCTCCCGCGTTACGCTACCGACTCTTCCGCTGAGTTGTTCCGCCGTCTTGGCAGCGCCATACCAAATCACGCAGATTGATCGACGACTAGATCATCTAGGGCATCGAGTGATCAGCAATGATCGTTGCGGGGATGCAGCTTCACGTCAATCTCACGACATCATTCCATCGCTTCAGCTCACTTCTGATCCAGGTACCAAGATTTCAAGGAGTTGGTCTGTGATGACGCATGCTGTCGAGATGAGGTGTGTGTGTGCGTGCCCCGAGATCGAATTGAGAGCAGGGCCAAGCCCGGCGTCATGGGGGCTCACTCGGTGGGGTGATTGGGGACGTTTCGGTTATGAATTGATGTCGTGTGGGACGTTTCACTTATAGATTAATAGATCCAAGATCAAGGGAGGTTACATCAACACGGGTAACTGCGGTAATAATATTTCTTGGTATAGGTACATATTCGTGTAGGTAGAGTGAGTACCTATGAAGTCACTGCTACTTACCCTGCAAACTAGAACAGGGTCTGGGATATGTCTCTTCATACATAGAACCACGTGGGGTTGGGATCTGTTCGCGAATCTTGTAATACCGCGCATGGATGGCCGGTTGTGCGCCTGGTCGGCTCATTTGTTCGAGATAATTGGTTGGCTCGAGCTCTGGTGGGATTGGGCCCTGAGCGGTCCCTGGTATCACTTAGTGCGCGAGTCACAAGACCTGCAAGAAAATTCTGAATGGACGAATGGACAGACGCTTGGACCACCCATCATTACCGTCCTCCCCACCCACCCGCGTTACCCAAAATCGAAAGAAAACATGGTCAGCGCTCGCTTCCAGAGCACAGAACCCAGAACCCGGAATCCTTGAACGCCGATAATGTGACCAGATCTAGCTCGATTGTATCACCTATCCAAGGACGTGCACTCAAGGCACACACCAATAGATTAGAGCGTCGCCGGGTGGAAGCCGATTGGTTTATTTTTGGCTCGGACCGTTAACCTAATCTTGTTGGTAGTAATCGCTCTTTTGAGAATTGTTGTAGTTTATAGATTTCCTTGTTGGGAGTATTTTTGTAGTGTTATTACATGGTGTTTGGGGTCTGGGGAGTAGGTCTACTGGTAGGAGAAGTCTGTTAGACACGCCAAGGCACCCCCGGTGGCCCCGGGTAAGAAAGGGGCCGGATGCTTGAGGCTGCTGCGGTTAGTTGTAGATACAGTACAAGTTGTCTTGAGACTTTTCACAAAATAAGACCCCGCACACCAGAATATTCTCTCCAGCTCCGATTTAAACGGAAAATGGACTATAATTACATTGATCAGTGTCAGTTTGGCAGCAGGCTAAAGCGTAGTTTATAGGGTCAAAACTCCGTTTCAACGACCCTTTTGAACGGGCCATAATTAAAAGGTCTCGAGAATTTAAAGAGACTGCAAAATCACCTCGACCCTGTCAAGACTACAGTCGCAATTCGATATGCCGGATTGCCAAGATTCTATGGATTTCGTACGGGATAGCTTGTCTCGAACCAGTCCCAATTGGGTTTAGTCTAGTTGCTAGCGTCGTTAATAAAAGAATTTGGAGCCAAACTAACGCCAAGATACTAATAAATATTATGTAAGACTCCAACCCGACGTCTGGTTCGAGACAACGGGATAGCAAAAAATCCGGGATAGCAAATTGATTTTGCAGTAGGAAAAATAATATTCTCAGAGGATCTCGTACGGGACAGCAAAGGATCCGGTGTATTGAGTTCCGGCATATCGAGTTGCGACTGTAAGCTGAAAAAATAACAGAAGGGACGAGACATTCTAGTTTCGTCTCATCTTATCTCGTGCCCATCACTAGCTCTGGGTGCCGAACCCAAGAACCGGATTCTGGGAGATGTTGTCAGCTCACTGTGAAACCTTACCACATCTAGTGGACAAAACAATGGATCTGGGAAAGAAAGACGCGGTCTTGTGTCCCGATTGTTGATGATACGGTATGACCCCTTTTCTTTCGCTCGCCTTACCGCAAAGAATCATAATTGAAGGTAAAACTGGGCTTGGCCGTCTCGCTTTTGGCTTGTCCGTCAATACCCCGTGAACGACAGTAGTTGGCTTTCCTATCCCTTACGCTGTTAAGGCTGCCAACTTTGCCAAGTATCGTGTCTCAATTCTGCGGCTTTAGTGTGAGGCTGGCCTGATGTTGCCATGTCTCATGTTTGGAGCATTTAAGTAAGGAATAGTACGATGACTCTTCGCGATATGGATCATGTCTTAGACAATCGGGAAGGTCCATACTGAAACCATAGATCCGCGAAGAAATTATCACTTCCGCCCTGATTGCTCGTGTGATCGTGATACAACAACGGCCCCTTTTTTCCTTTTTCTTCAAATTCCACGAGTCATCTGGTAGGACAGTCTATTAATATACTCTACAATGGCTCTTCCCAATGTGAGACATGCCTTAGACAATTGAAAAAGGCCAATACCGCCAAAACTCGAAAAATTCGCTATCTAGCTCCGTCCGGGAATTACCATTCGAGTGTTGGTTGAATGGCATCGATCTGCATAAGAAGGTTCCCATAGAAGTAACTTTGATCTAGCCAGTTTTTCGAGTTATGGCGGTAATACCTCAGGGGTGAAATCATCGATCTAGAACGCGATTATCACCTCTGTCCCGGTTGATTGTGGTACGGCAAGGGCCCTTTTTCTTCCGCGGGCAGGATGGTAAGGGAGGCCATCTTACGACGGCTCTGTGTAATCTACAGCATGTCTTAGACAATTAGACAGTTCAACTACCGCAAAATCTCAGGAATAACGAATCGTACTGGACTAGGAATACTAGGCCGCTTCAGATTGGTCATATGAGTGTTGAGCCTCAATTCGACAGACCCAAAGCGTCACTTTTGGTCGTATTGACCAATGGATAATTCCGGCCCAGTCCGATTCGTTATTCCTGAAATTCTGCGGTATTACGCTCGGGTTGAAACGTATTGGTTCATCACTGTAGCCTTAACATGTATAGGTAATTGATATTGAACATGGAGCTATCACAGACCCTCACACTGCAGAAATACATTTTACTAATATGAAATCGGGTCTTAGACTACTAGATGACCACACGGAATATGGAGCTGCACGAAACCCCAATTACATGAAGGAAGCAAAAGTACTGGCCATGATGTTGGGTGGGGTAATCCACGCCCATTGGGTGAGAACCCTGCACAAGTATACCTAGAGAGGATAGTACGCCACCATAGCCTACGGGCTTCATGCGAGTATGAATTAAACAAAAAACAAAAAACAAAACCATGAACGAAGTGGCATCTCACGTGACCTTATTATAAGCCAAGACATATTGGCGAGTGATACACTATGACTGAGATTGACTAAACCAACATCTGTCTGCACCACGTCTAGAATAAGTAACAATATTCGCTGAGCTTTAAATCGTCTTCCATGAGACTCTCGAAAGGTTTTGCGTAGCTTTGTGACGGGAGATATTTTCGTGCCTGCTAATCATAGAATATCACTCGTTCCTTCCGAGACGGCTTTTGTACCTCGATTACGATTCCTCTCTAGTGTATTCGACCGAGGATCTAACGGCGAGCTCTCTACAGATTTTAGCGAGATCTGTGGAATACTTAAGTACCGCGAGCTTCCACCACGGCCTTGAGAATAATGGGACGGCGGAGGTCAACTCTGGTGCATGTACGTACGACGTCCTGACCGACCCACGAACATTTTGCAGAAACTCTTACTGCTTATACCAACTGAAGTGACCCCCAATTGCTGTGATCGTCTCCGCCCACTATTAAAAGACTCCTAGTCATCCTAGAAACATTACGATATCGAAACTAGGATATAGAGACTCGTGCCCAAATCGTTTTCCGGATTCCACAAAGGAGCAATCCCGAGCATATATTATCTTAAACGCCTCCATGCTCTGAAAATAAAAATAGGTTGCGCCACTGAGACTGAAGATTGATAGAGGGACAGAAATAGCCGTGATGGATGTGAAACCTTGAGCGGGAGTGAGAAAGTAAATGGGCCACAATACACCCGGATTAAATTAAGTCCAGATTGAGGGCTCTGACAAGGCAAATATAGAGAACAATAGGACCAAATCCTTCATTGTGCCCGTGTTTTAGATCGACTTCGAGGGTCATCGCTTTGCCGTGCGAGATGTGGCTGGTTTCTACCGAGGCT